AAGTCGAGTAAATCGTAAAACTTTGCGATTAACTCGAGAAATTTATTAAAAACGACGTCAGATCAGGAAACGATTCCGTAAAAGTCGGAAAACGGTTTTTATCGCAAAACGGTCCGGAAGGACCTAAAACGCGATAAAACCCATCTCGCGATTTCAACGGAATCAAACCCGCGGATTTGATAACGTTCTAACGGTTTACCCGCAGAAAGAAAATAAAAGTCAAGTTTAAACATAAAAGGAAGATTTGAAGAGAAATAGAAGATTTCCGCAGAAGAAAAGGAAGGATCGAGAAGAATGGAAAGTTCCCGATTTAAGACAAATCTGAGCGAAATGGAAAGATCGGATAGCCAAGATGAGGAGTATATAAAGAGGAGGTCTAGGGCAGAAGAAGACACACGAAATTCAGAGCTCTCACCACCAAAACTAGCATTTAGGAATCTTTCCGTTTTTCTGTTAGCGAGCTGCGTCTCAATTAGGGTTTTCTAAGTTCTTACGTTTACGGCTACTCTTTTTGTAACCAGTTCAACGCAGATTTGGAATAAGAACCTTCTTGCTTTCAAATCTCTCTTATTTTCGTTTTTATTCTAAGTTATCGTTTTCTTATTTTCGTTGTGCGGTTCTCGCAGATAGCCGGTTCCTCTGGAAACTTAGGGTTTTTCCCGAAGTTTCCTTATTTACGATTTATTTGACAGTAGGGTGAAATCGACTCCCACAAAACATAAGAAAAATAATAACGCACAACCGTTTTATTACTCGAGGGATTAAACCACTCAAAGGGCATTACCCTAAAGACTTGCAAAACCATAGAATGAAAACAGAAAAGAAATAATCCTAAAGATAAAACAGTAGGACTAAACTTATCAAAAGGGGATTTCATAACAGAATCCAACATTATTCAAATAGAAATGAAAATAAAATAGAAGCTCAAACAACTATCCCTTACTCAGATAGATTTTTAGGCTTTGATATAGCCTTTCTGGAATCCTTTTCTCCCATCTTACCAGCCGCCTTTGCCAACAATTTCTTCCTAGGAGATACAAACACCGGTGTACTTCTCTTCTTAGAAGGACCCCCTGCATTCCTAGCATTGAGCTTGACCTCTTTCATTCCCTCCTTCCCTTTGAATGCGTCCTCCTCATCCTTTGCTTCCATGTTTCTGTGAGAGTGAACATCTATCGCGACATCAACCTCATCTAAAACGTGTTCATTGCCCTCCATGTCAGTACCCTCCATAAATTATGTGCCTTCACCTTGGTCCCAGCCCTCCAACTCACCATCCTCCAACAACAACTCCGAATCAGATAGAAGCACTCCTTCCGCCACCAAGTTAGCATCATCTAAAGCTGAGAAACTATTCTCCTCCGAGACTTTACCTTGTTCTGTAGCCTCTGCAAGACCTTCGAGTGAGTTTGATGGAAGAAATACTTCATTCATCTGAGACACATCTAACACTTCCTCCCCCCGGTTCCTTATCTTCAAAAAGCAAAGCTTTGCGAGCCTTAGAAGAGGTTCCACTACCACTTCTCATGTCAGCAGAAGGCCTCTCAACTATAGGGGACCCGGAAACACCTTTAAAGGCATCAAGCATGAGCTTCTCAGGATTTTCCAAAACCCTATCTCCTCCACCAAATTGATGACCCCTGGACTGATTCCCGACCCTTCTATTGCCAGCATTAACATCATTGTGGCCCCTTCCATTCTTCTCTCTATACGGATGATAGACCCCCTCCATTCTACCATCTCCTTGATGTTCCCTAGCTATATCTTTACCCTTATCACCACCACGATGCCCTTGATAGCGGTTCTGATGTCCTCTACGCGCACCATTCTGCCTGTCTCCATTAGTAACCACTGCTTTGTAACTTGTGATATTTGATCCATCATTGATTGACCCCCCGCCCTTGGAGCTCTCTGGCACATTTTTGTTCACTTTTGGACAAAGATCCCGATCATGCGTACGGCAGAAACACTCCGTACAATAGCCAATCAGCTTTTCATACCTTAGTGTTACCATTATCTCCACACCTTCTCCTATTTCAATAGTGGCCGAAAACGCCAACGGTTTGAAGCCGTCAATCTCCACACGGACCTTACCTTCAACTAGATCCAAAGGGCCATGAACTTGACCAAGGGCTTCTCCCACGCCTTGGAAGATTTGCGGCACATGGAACTGTAATGACATATCCATAACATGGACCCAAAACGTGATACTTGAGGGATAGTTTGGTTCCAGCACCGGCCTCCATCGTACCATAGAAACCATCCAGAAGTAAAAATGGAAAGGCTCCATCTTGAGAACCTCCACAATGTCCTCTTCCAGCTCAAAATTAAACTGAAAGCGACCCAAACCCAGGTCCATACCAACCACACGGCCCTCCACACCCCAGAATCACGGAAAAAGAAACAAGAGAGTCTTCAAATCTTGCTTCTCAGGGTTCATACATCGCTCTATAAGGATCTTTGAGTAGCTGGCAATGAGTTCCGAGTTGTCAAATCTTGGTATTGAGATTCTTAACCTTGGCTTCACCTCTTCCACCTTCTTACCATTGGACTTTGCAATCAAGTTTCCCTGCGTCATGATACCACCCACTCAGCCGCCATCAGTTCTTTCCTTTTCCGGCGAAGCCCTAGCATGCAGATTTCCTTTTTCCCGACCAGCCGCCTTTGGTTCTTTCCTTTTTCTCGGAAAACCCTGGCTGAGAAACCCCAGTTCACGATCATCCATCAAATCCGACCAGCCGCTTGCACGACAATCTCAGTTCCTGCAACCCGATCAATAAATCCCAACCGCGAAGAACTCTCAGCCGATCCCAACCACGATTCTTGTTGGGGTCAAAATCGGTACGAAGGAATCAACGGCCGAAACTCCCCGCAGAAATATAAAAGGAATCGTTTTGTAAAACCCGAAGAATCGTTTTATAAAACTCCAGGATCGTTTTATAAAATTCGAGGACCGTTTTATAAAACTCGAGAATCGTTTTATAAAACCCGAGGATCATTTTATAAAACTCGAGAATCGTTTTATAAAACTCGAGGATCGTTTTATAAAATTCGAGAATCGTTTTATAAAACTCAAAGAATCGTTTTATAAAACTCGAGAATCGTTTTATAAAACTCGAAGAATTGTTTTATAAAACTCGAGAATNGAGAATCGTTTTATAAAACTCGAGGATCGTTTTATAAAATTCGAGAATCGTTTTATAAAACTCAAAGAATCGTTTTATAAAACTCGAGAATCGTTTTATAAAACTCGAAGAATTGTTTTATAAAACTCGAGAATCGTTTTATAAAACTCGAGGATCATTTTATAAAACTCGAGAAGCCGTTTTATAAAACTCGAAGATCATTTTATAAAACTCGAGGATCGTTTTATAAAACTCGAGAAGCCGTTTTATAAAACTCGAGAAGCTGTTTTAAAAAACTCGAAGATCGTTTTATAAAACTCGAGAAGCCGTTTTATAAAACTCGAAGATCTTTTTATAAAACTCGAAGATCTTTTTATAAAACTCGAGAAGCCGTTTTATAAAACTCGAAGATCGTTTTATAAAACTCGAAAAGCCGTTTTATAAAACTCGAAGACCGTTTTATAAAACTCGAAGAATCGTTTTATAAAACTCTAGAATCGTTTTATAAAACTCGAAGAATCGTTTTACGAAACCGCAAAAAACCGAAACAGCCGTAAAACGCGAACTAGTCCCGTCCCGGTTAGATCGCCATTGGGCGAACTAAGAGGTGCTGACTTTGCGCCACTGGTTCGTTTCGCCTAGTTCGCCATATGGCGACCTAGCCAAGCTGAACTAGCTCGTCGTACGTCGAGCCGACCATCCCGAGCCTCGATCTCCCACATCCTTGATTCAAGGCATACGTCCTTCGACACGATCGTATTCCAAATCACGGTCGAAATGTCTTCCGTTTCATCTTGATCCGTCCTATCATTCGAGTTTTACGATAAAAACCGTAAAACTCCGTTTTCCCAAAAAGAACTCGAAGAAATCGTATAAAACGGTAACGGTTAATCAAAACACCGAACGTCGCCTAAACTACACGATTTATCCGAGATTCTTCGTTAAGATTATAAAAACGCGTTTTTAATAAAAAACGTCGAGAGAATCGTAAAAAAACGGCATCGGATCAGGAAACGGTCTCGTTAAAGTCGTAAAACGGTTTTTATCGTAAAACGGCCCGAAAGGTCCTTAAACACGATAAAAACCCATCTCGCGATGTTAACGAAATCAAACCCAAAGATACAATAACGCTTTGACGGTCTACTCACAGACGGAAGATAAAAGGCAAGTTTGAAGATAAATAGAAGATTTCCGCAGAAGAAAAGGAAGGATCGACAGATATGGAAAGTTCCCGAAATATTCGGTTTCGAGCAAAATGGAAAGACTAAAACCGCCTAAGGAAGAGTATATAAGGAGGAGGCATAGGGCAGAATCTGAGGGACGAGTTTTTCAGAGCTTGCACCACCAAACTTAGCATTTAGGCAATTTTCCGTTTTCGTAATCGAGCTGCGTCTCAACTAGGGTTTTAGTCTTAGATTGCTAGAACTAGTAATTTCGCCGACGGCTCACGCAGCTAAGGCAACTCTCGTTGTAACCATTCTTACGCGAATTCGGAATAAGAATCCTTCTTGCTTTCAATCTCGTTTTTATTTTTATATCTTTCAATTTATTCATATTAATCGCGTTCTTGGTTACTTGTTGTTGGCTTTCGCAGAGATCCGGTTCCTCTAGAAAATTAGGGTTTTCCTAACTTTCCTTATTTACTATTATTTGACAGTAGGTGGATTTTGGTTCCCACAGTTTGGCGCTAGAAGGAGGGGGGGTCGGATTACTCTTACTCATAGCCGCAAAACGCTTGACCAAAACGATGTCTGGATGTATGAAAGACAAAGTCGCAACTCGCAAAAAGACGCTGGTAAAACAACTCCAGCAGCGACTGCTCCTACAGCCAACTCTCGCGCAAACGCTGTAGTACTCAACAAAATCGAAAACCTAATCGCGACTCTTCGCCACGGAAAGAGCAACAAAACAAGCTCACGATTTCTATCTCAGATCACTAAGGGCAACGACAAAATCTATCAAACCCCATAGTGTTTTTCTTATTTCCGAGTTGGAAAAATCTCACGCGTTAAGCAAAGACGTTTTCCGAGAACCTTTCGGAAAAATTAAAGTTGCTCTCCCAGAAACCGCGGAACAAACCGTAACTTACTCGCGAAATAAATCCTAGGATACCCACGGAAAACCCTAGGCTGTTCGCGGAAAATTCCTTAGGTGACTCGCGGAAAAACCGTAGATTATTCGCGGCAAAACCCTAGGTTGTTCGCGGAAAACCCCTATGTTACTCGCGGAGAAAGCCTTAGGTGACTCGCGGAAAAACCGTAGGTTATTCGCGGCAAAACCCTAGGTTGTTCGCGGAAAAACCCTAGGTTACTCGCGGAGAAAGCCCTAGGTTACTTGCGGAAAAAACCCTAGGTTATTCGCGACAAAACCCTAGGTTGCTCGCGGAAGAACCTTAGGCTACTCGCAGAATCGGGCAATACGATCCAGCCGAAAAGACGGTGAGTTGGCCAAGCAACCTAGCTTGCCATCTTGGCGAGCTGACCGGCTTTCCACCTCGTCCCAGAGGCACTGACTTTATCCCGAGGGTCCGCACAATCCAACTCATAGCTATGGTGAGCCAGACCGTTCTCTAAACAATAATCGCACTGCTTTTCGTTTCATCTCAATCAAAGTTTTCGTTGAGGTTTTACCACGAAAACAAGATAGCTTGATGAATCGGGACTGTGCTCGCCGACTCACCATTAGACAAGTTGGACAAGCTCGATGGATCGAAACATCTCCATCTCGAATCTTGATCGAGACGCTTTTCGTTTCGTCTCAATCGAATTTTCCATTGAGATTCTACGACGAAAACAATTCAACTCGACGAATCGAGATCACCCGCGCCAAGCGTCTTAGCTCGCCGAACGTAGAGCTAGCTAGCTCGCCATACAGCGAGCTGACCCAAGCGCCTGGCTCGCCCAAGAGACGCTGACTTCGCCCCAAGGGTTCTTACAATCCAGATCGCCACACGACGAGCTGAAAGGGTTCACCCGACTTGCCTTACGTCGAGCTGANCTGCCACGCTAAGTCGAAAACATCCAATCATAAACACGTGATTGATTTTTTCGATATACAAAGCGCACCTAGTCGGTCAAATAAAACCAGCAGTACGAAGAAACAAGAACACGAGCTCCGATGGTTAAGTCTTCTCCCCGCTCCGATACTCTCGCTGGTAATTCGTCGAAGACCGGTAGGTCAAAAGATGAAGAACGAAAAATAGACGACCCCAAATCATCGATGAAGCTAAGTTATGTCCGATTCGAAAATTTTATTAGACTTCTAATTTCTCGTAGGTAAGAAACGAAAACGTCTTGTAAACTGCCAAGAAACCTAGGGAACTTAGAATTTAGAAGATAGTCTAGCATGCTAAGTCGTAAGCAAATTTTGTCTATCTCGATTTGTTGTTCTCTAACCATTCAGGCATAACTCGCAAACCAATCCAATCTCTCGTACAACCGAGAAACGATCACCACACATTCAAACGTACTCATTTCCTAAAAGAAAGAAGGAGCTAGAGACGCTGACGTCGTCTTAAAACCGACTTGCTCCTAGAAGTTCTCGTAAATCAGACATACTCCAAGTCATCTCCGATCCACCATGGTCTTTAATCGACCCGGATTGTCGATCATCCAAATCCTTCAAACGAAACTCGTCTTTCTTCTTTTGCCGAACATTTTTCCTCGCATCAAGAAAACGCTTTCTAAAATAAGAGGAAAAATATTCGGACGATGCAACGCCTCGTCGAAATCATCCCAAAAGCAAACGACAATCTAAAAACCGTCTAAGTGCTAAAGACTGATCCAAACTGTCTGGGAAATAATCTCGAGGAATATACAGCATCTCTCGTCGCAATCATGCAGTTAGAAAATCTCTGCGAAACTTCAGAGTGAAACTCGATTATTTTCCGAAGTCATAAAGATCTTCTCAAACTTGATAAAACAAGTATAAGAGTCGAAATCTTTAGGCATCAAAGCATTGATCTCATTTTCCGTCAAACCAAGTGAGCCACGGAATAATGTCAAGAACATTTGCGGCGAAAGAAAGATCGAGAACACAAAGCAGCAAGGGAACAAGTCCACCCTTCTCGCTGACTGATCCTATTGCTGATCATCGTATAAATCAAACCTACAATGGAAAAACGTTTTCAATAGCCACGGGAATACTTGGCATATCAAGCTCGACAAACGCTACTTGGCTATTGTCCGAGCGCGCTTCACATCAATGCCAAGTTTAATTTAGAAACCGACTCGACCTTTTCGATAGCACGAAAGTGTCGTGGTCTAATTCTCTACCAAATACGACTTTGGTTGTGCGGCTGAACACAACCTTCACGCCAAGCCAATACGTTCAACGGATAATGCAAACTTGTCGAAAATCGGCTAAGTTCTGTATTCTCGCGATTCACTCCACTCCCGAAGCTAGTTGCCTACAAAATCCGACGTATAAGAAAACAACTTACGCGACCTCTCGG